AAGAAATTCCATTTGAACTAGTTCCATTTTTCTGTCTGAATGTCATATCAGCTTAGTATCTTTACTTACAGAAAGAGGTAAACACAGAGTGAAAGATCAGAGCAAAGATAGGTACAGTCTTTTTTATGCCGGTTGGTGGCTCTGTAAAGAAACTTAATCAGCAAAAGGCAAGAAACCTTTCATGTTTACAAAGGTCAATCGAATTTGAAAAACTCTCTTGAATCAATGCAGCCTGAAAATGACGAGGTGCGTTGGTGGCATTTTTAGCACCTGTAATTTGGGACACTACAAAAGTCCTTACAAAATGATCGCATTTCCCATGATTGGCTAACCGGAAAAGATTTTAGCTCCTTGATTTCCTGTGTGATATTTTCAAAATGAAGAGCTTTGATTAAGGAAAAGGTCTGAAAATGCCACGCAGTTTATGACTCCTTCCCTGGGCGTTATAATGACATGGCATTACAAGAAAATAAAGAGGCTTCATTCATTCTGTGTGTGATGGAGGAGAGGATTTGTTTTTGCTTTACCCAAACAAGTCTAAATAAACTGTTCTGTGAAGCGTGTGATTATTCATTCATTCATTTAGGATATAATCAGACAATTGCACCCCACTGATAGTATCCAGTTTCTGAAGTAACATTTCTATTTGTGATCTAATTCTTATTCTATTACTCAATCCCCAGCTGTAAAGCAGATAGGAATTACTTGTGAAACAAATTTGCATGAGTATATTAAAGGGTACCAAAAATGCAGAAGGCTGTATAACAATAGACTATCCTTAAAAGTGGGTGTATATATAAGGACCATCTATTTTATCTTTAAAGAGGTAGGAGTCACATAGTACTCTTAGGAAAACAGAGAAAAGACAAAGACAGTCAGCAGCTTCTCAAAAGAAATGCATCATTGCAAACAGGGAATGGAATATATCCGAGGATGCCTTCACAATCAGAACTGCACCGGGCCGTGTTGTTCAATGGTAGGAAAAGGTTTCAGCAATAAATTACTTTTCGGTTTGAGGCTCTGAAATAGATACATTTCGCCATCACTTTGGGATGTGTGGGATAACTTGGTTTGGAAACAGTTAGACATTTTGGGAATTACACTTTTTTGTTTTCATGTTGAGACTGATACCATTGTCAAGTTTGTAGGGTAAATCTGAAATGTAGAAAGCAGCTGTTAGCTTTGCTTAGCACAAAGACTGGAAACAGGAAATCAGCTGCCTAAAGGTTAAACAAATCTTCCTGCCAAAACCTTAAATGTCACTACTGATTATGTTTTACCACTTTCAAAATCGGTACTATGCCAAAGTGTCATCTTCCCACTTTGTTCTAGTAAGATAAATACAATAATAAGTCATCTTTAGGGGTGCTAGAAAGTGGACTTTGTTACGTTTGGACAGAGCCAGGCTTGCTGCTTTCCTCTGTTAATGTTTTTGTTGCTAAGCTAAGGTGGTTTATGCTGGCTGTGGCTTCACATGTAGGCTTATCTCACCTCACTCTCTGCACATTTCCCCTTTTTCTTCAGACGGTATAATGTTATTTGTGATAAATGATCAAAGTTGTGGGATGGAAGTGTGGCAAATAATGGTAAACTAGTTCAAACTCATCTAGCCTGCAGTACTTTAGTAACTATACTTAAATTCCACCACTGTGTAACTGTGAACTTTAACATCACCTACACAACTCACCCCAAGCTGGAAATTAAGAACTACCAGGAATCAGTTGTAATGCTTGATGATTCCCTGCCTGCTGTTTTAGAGGACATTTTTGATTTTGGGTCATTTCCTCAGCCTCAAAATGATTTCTCTCTCCATGGCCAATTTTGGACAGTAAGATAATGGTAATTTCAGCAAATAGGGCAAATTTAAAGTGTCCCATTCGGCAGAGCCAGGATGCTTTTGGCAGTTGCATCACCTCCCTTGTTGCCAATTTATGAGGTTAGGGAGGAGAGTGGTTGTCGAGGTTGTTTTGCTTTATTTATAATGGGGGTTTTCTTAAAGGAGTCCCAGGGTGAAATGGTGGCTGGAAAACCAGGATTCGGTGATAGGAAGCAGCATACATGTTCTGTGGATGCTGTTCAGTACTTGTAGGTAAATGCAAAGATATGATAAACAGGCAAAACATTTGAGCATTTGAGTATTATAGCAAAGGTCAGGAATAATAGAAGCTTTTTTTATGTATCATTTTGTATAATTTCATAATAAGAAAAATGGGGTTGGCTATAGCTTTGCTTTGCTTGAGTGGTTAGTGTGTGTGTTTCTGGTGTGTAAGTGGAGAATTCCTAAGAGGGTCCAACAGGGCTAGTTGGTTGCACACAGTAAATTGGGTCACTGCTGAATTAAACACCAGTGCCTCTGCTTTCAGTGCTGCTTCACTGCTGCACCACAGAAGGGCAGGTTAGAAATAGTCATGGCTTTAGAGTCCAAATAAACAGTCAAGCTTGGTCGGACAGAGAAAGTGGGACAGGTGCTATGAACAGAAGAAGTGGCTTTTCAGAGGTCCTCATCAAACAAGCATGCCTTCTGTCGAGGAAAGGTTATGCCAAGCGTTGTTTCTTACCCGGCTTCTTTGTTTGCATCATGGCACAACATCGGAGAGTCAGCTTCCACTTTGGGTTTCTATAACAGGAACCAGAAAAAAGAAGGGATGAAATTGTGAGACAAATAGGCAGACAATATAAAGTAGGGAGGAGATGAAAGCTAAAAAAGTATGGCTGGCAGTGATTTGGGAGTTCCTGAAAGTTTTTTGACAGTGTGTTGAAAAGCATCTGAAGCCTTTTCTCCTAAGTGGTCAAACTTGAGGCAAAATAAAGAAAAAAATGAGACAAGAAATAGCAATAAAGGAAAGAAAGATGTAAGAAATTATTGAAAGGATTTCTTTTTGGCAATCCGTTAACACACATGCTTGCCTTATCCTGTCATTGAGAAAAAAGCAAAAGGGAATCGATAAGGCGGACTTAAGAGCAGCACATTTCAACTCAACCCTTTGTAAAGCTGTTGTCATCCTGTCCCTGTGGTTTACTGTGGTCCCAGAGCTCAACCTTCGGCATCCAGTCAGCCACACTCAAGGACAAAAACACTTTGAGGGCAAGGGAATTAATATTTGATATCTAGCTCTGCATCATGTGGTGAGACAGACAGTCAGGCATACTAGCAAGCAGATGCAGGATGCGTAAAAGCCATGAGTAGCCACTCCCAACTGCAGCGCCACCACTATACCACAGAAAGCTCATATTGCATTGGTTGGTTTTTGCTAGATTGGTACAAAATAAGTGCTCAGCGGTATTGGTCTATGCAGAATAAAAACCAATGATTAATTGAGTCACACCTCATGTGCGGTCATCCCAAGGTCCTACTGTATGGTCCAACAGCACTGTGGAAGTAGTTTCAGTTGAATGGGAGACAAAACTTCACCCAAGTAGTTAGGTTGCCTAAACTTTGAAAAGAGTGAAGCTTTAAAAATAATGTGGATTTGTTTTTTGTTCAAAATTTTACTTTTTATTTCGCTTTTTCAATGTGCTAGAACGGGTTGTTTTTACGTTTAAGTTTTTTAATTGTACAGCATTGTAGGTTCAGATTCTATGGCTATTCGGATTCAGAGGCTGACTTCGAAAATGGGTGGACACATGCTGAGCGAAAAAAGTCTATTTCGGGGGAAACTTGGTGGATGAGTGGTTCAAAAGGCATCAAGGCTTTACCACTAAACCCAGGAGACTATAAAAGGGCCTATAATGGCTTCAAATTAGAAAAGATGCATATGCCTCACTAAAGACTTTAAAACGTTTCTGACCTTCTGAGTAACACCCTCTGAAAATCTTGTTTTGGCTAACCTGTGTACTTGATGTAGAAGTATTCAAAAACACTTGACGTGACATTGACAAAATCCAACAGAGAACTGTGAACCAGAGACGGCAGGAATCAATACACCAGGAGGGGATTTTATGTGAACAATAGCGTCAAAAGAAGATAGTGTTTTTAGTTCAGCAGCTTGCATAGGACTGTGTCAAAATACTGTAGGGTGGTAGTACACAAGTCAACGTAAAAGTAGCAGGAATTCAGTATTATAACATGAGCTTGTTGGTTATCGATGTTTCCCAAAAGCCTTTGAAACATAATCGGCATTGTGGGCTTCCCAAAGTGCAGAGGCAGTCAGACAGCAGGGATGCAGCTAAAGGTTCGCAGCAGACTAAAGCGCATGGCGGATTGATTTCACAGCAGCTTGAGAAAGCACTGAAGGCTAGGATCACACTGAGCATGTGTGTGTGTGTGATGGTGGAAACATGCTACAGCAAAAAACAAATACAAAATTGGGTAACTACAGAGAAACATGATTCATTTCAAATACAAACTGTGTATTAGATCATGTCCTGTGGTTAGCTTCTTTGGAGGGGATGACTGTAATTTATTCGAAGAAACCATGGTAAAACAGGGTAAAGACTCATTTCTCAAGGCTTCAATGTGACTTATTCAATAGGCTGCATGGTTTAAAGGTCTGAAAAAATGATCTGTTACATGAAGCAAGGTGAAAGTTGGATGTATTTCCTTACAGTTGTGACTTATTCAGTAAAGGTTTGAGTAAAATGGTAGATGGACTAATGCAGAAATAAACGCAGTTACATTTGATATTAGACGAAGGCATGGGTCACTGTCGATGGATGTGTCTATGGTCTCCAAACCCCCTTTAGAGGAAACCACACCACTTACGCATCGAAGTTAAGGTCGATTACAGTATATAGGAAAACAAATGTTATCAACTCTGGGTATTCCAATCCAGCTATGACTGAGTCCAATCTGAAAGAGTTTTTCATTACTAGCGGCATAATCACAACAATAAATGACGTTTCTAGTTGCTTGAACTGACAGTTTCCCTATAATATTATGGTTTAATATTACATTTTTTGGGATGAAGAATTGTCAAGATCTTCAATGGAACGTGGGTCTCATTAGGAGGATGCTGCCTACTACAAATCATTCAACATGTATGTGTTCGTGTCTCCTGCAGATGATGGAAAACTTTCTCTGGATGAGTTTCAAGCTTTCTTCTCCGACGGCACGCTGAACGAGGAAGAGCTGGAGAAGTTGTTTCACAGCATTGACTCTGACAACACCAGGTCAGCACTACTCTACCGCTACTGTGTGTGTGTGTGTGTGTGTGTGTGTGTGTGTGTGTGTGTGTGTGTGTGTGTGTGTGTGTGTGTGTGTGTGTGTGTGTGTGTCTATCTGTCTGTCTACTCTACAGCATGCAAAATGGCTGTGAAGCAGCATGAAATAAATCTGCATACAGTATTTGTTCATGTATGTGTGTAGATATGTGTGTTCACCGTGCCTTTTGTTGTTGATCACGTATCTCTATCAATAATGAAAAAGAGAGGAGATGCACGCAACTGCTTTCCTGCTGCACTGCAGTATCCTTCTTTTTCAATTTTGTGTGTGAGCACGCTTATGTAAAATATGTGTCACTTATTTTGCAGCCAGAACATGTCACTCTTTTTATGGAGATCATCTTGTACATATATATAAAGATGACAAAAATAAAGACAGAGATTAACAATAAGAGGAAGTATTAAAAGAAGAGTGAACAGTGGGAAAAGTCAGAGTTATCTGTTTTAACATCTTTCACCTTTTCATCCTCTTTCTAAACCATTTGCATTAGTCATCCTGAATCTACAGGACATAAGCCTCTCTAAAGTACGTCTACTGTTTTGATTAGCTCTCATTGAGTCGATGTATTGACATTTAATAATCAGCCAATCGGCTCATCCAGCCTGCAATCAGGATAAGTGTGCTTACACAATGGGATCTCGGCAATCAGAAAACTGGCTCAGTTAATTTACAAAACCTTGGAAACAGGAAACCAAGCAGAACAAAAGCTGACCTTTATAGAATCGAATTAGGCACAACATATAAATCCTCCAGCAGGCTACGGCAGGTTATTTTTAAATCAGTGCAGCAATTGGACCATGCAACCGCCAACATCTCTCCGACGTCAGCCATCTTTGGGATGGTTGCGCCTTATAAATCGTATTCACTGCAGTGCATGCATTTAGAAAAGTTTCTACTCATTACAGTTAAGTAGACTTGGCAGCAGCATGCCAGGGCTCAGCACTATCATGTGACAGCAGATAAGGTTATTGATTGGTTCAAGTAAAAGAAGAAATGGCAGTGTAAGGGTTTCCTGTTGGAGCAGGAAGTTGATGGATGGAGAAGAGGGATGGAGCAGGCAGAGAATGAGCGCTGTCCTGCCTCAAGTCATTTGTCTTCTCTGTTTCTGTCACTCTTTGTTCTTTTTCTTTCTTTTCCTGTCACACTGCCCAGCTCTTCCTGTTTCCCTACACCATCCTTCTCGATCAATCTTAACACTTTCTCTAGGGTCTCCCTTTCAGGCTTCCAATCCTCCCATAGCATCTATTTCTTACTTTTATTTTCCTTAGGAGGAAAAGTCTAACCCATTTTCTACCCAGCATTGCTTCTGTACATTAAATAGCTTCTTATCCCATAGGTTTTACATCAAAGTGTTACAAAAACTTCATGTAACCTTTGATAGAGTTAAAAAAGAAACTGTTATCATTAAAGAGGAACTTGAGGGATTTAGTAAAGCACTTCCATGTAGTTGATGGAATTAGACACATTTAAATTTTAAGAATTTTCTTGATGATCTAGCATATAACCAGTAGCAAAAGTAAGATGTAGCATGTTAGCAGCACCTTAGCAGCAGCAGCAGCTTCTTTGCTCCGTCTATGTTCAGGCACAGTAATAAGCGTACGTCATAAGCATAGAGTAGTACTCCTTATCAAAAGTAAACTGAACTAATAAAAGCCTTTTTAATATTGTTACGCCCCACCTTTAAAATGGCCCTATGGGGCTAACAAGATTCCACCACTGACCCAAATAGAACACGAAAGACACCTTTAAAATCATCAAATCCATAAGATTTATTATAACACATCAAAGGTTTAATTATCCATCCTAGGATGAGAGGCAGAAACACAGCAGTCCCCACACCAGAGGCCTCCCCTTCTGCTGCTGCACTGGAGCTTTTAAGCACTTCCTTCCCCAGGTGCACCTCGTCTGAACCTCGTTACAGCAATGCAGCACACCTGGGTAGAGGAACCAAAGGGAAAAAGAAACAGGGAATACATACAGCCGTAACACCTCCACCCTTAAAACAATGAATAAATAGAAAACTAACACCATACTATTCTATTCATTGAAATGAATGTGGAATTTCAGTGACTTTTATCAAGGCTGTATGCAAGGCAGCTAATACACTTAAGCACACCAGACTTAATATATCAATATATGAATGCATTAGATCAGACAACAGATTAAGGACTGCTGACAAAAGGTGTCAACCTGGGTCAAATGTGGAACAACAAGATATTTTCAAACTCTAAAACAGGGCCAACTAAGATGGTGCCACACAGAATGAGCAGCAACCACACAAGTAGCCAAATCAATGAAACAAAATGGCTACCACCATGAGATGACAAACAAACTAAAAAACCAAACCAAGTTACTGCGTTTACAAACACACAAACCGTAACAGACATGTCCAACACAATGTGGAGTGCAACAGCCACAGACCTAAAGGATCACCACAAGTAGACCAACTACAAAGTTGCTGCCATTCACTAATAGCAACACTATGATACAACAAGAGTGAACTGCCACTACCACAACACAAAAATGGACACCATGTGATCTTCCAACCACATGCACAAGTTACTGTGATGGATGCAGGAAACCAGCAACACAAGCTCACTTGACGAACCGGCATGAGCACACTAAACTACTAAACAAGCTCACTTGACGAAGCGGTATGAGCACACCAAACGACTAAACAAGCTCACTTGACGAAGCGGTATGAGCACACTAAACGACTAAACAAGCTCACTTGACGAAGCGGTATGAGCACACCAAACGACTAAACAAGCTCACTTGACGAAGCGGTATGAGCACACCAAACGACTAAACAAGCTCACTTGACGAAGCGGTATGAGCACACCAAACGACTAAACAAGCTCACTTGACGAAGCGGTATGAGCAGACCAAACTACTAATTTGCTACAATTAAATACATGACAGCAACAACACACAAGTGACCACCAACAAGTGGACTGCAACAACCACAACACACATGGTCACACTGTAGTAAACTACACACAAATGTTGCCTACTTACACCTAAGCAGCAACCCGAAATTGACCCAACTAATGTGGACTGCAGATACCACCACCTAAAAAGTCACATACCACAAGTTACTGAACGTGCATTTATTATAGCTCCACAGAGTGGCCAAATGAAAAGTAGAGTCAAAAGTTGCTGTGCAAAAACTGGGAAAACAAGCAGTAGTGAGGCACCCCAACCCTGAGCTGTTGATGGAGATGGCTAACTAACCTAGCTAGTCTTCAGTGGCTTGCCGAGCTCGAGGCGACTTTAAACGCTGAACTCAGTGCATCACCGAAGACCATAGATATAGCCTAAAGCAATACACTGAAGCGTACCCCCACTCAGGATTACCACCAAAAATAAGAAAGGTAAAACAAAAAAAGTGGCAAGATCTTCAAACCTGCCCGGTGACTAACTAGTCAGGATGCTCAACACTGAAATTGCAAGCTGGTGAAACAATTAAATGCCCAACTAAACAGCAACAACCACACATTAACTCAAACAAAAATCTCTCCACAAAGCAAACGGCCACTAGATACAGACAAATGCTAATAAATTGACCTCACCTCATGGACATTCAATCCCGGACGAGCCCCCATGTATGTTACGTCCCAACTAGGGGAAGAAGAAAGCAACATACACCAGTTGGAATTGGTAATAATTATTTTAATGTATAACAGGTAGAACAAAATGGAAGGCATGCAGCCTGAACAAACAAAAAGGCCAAAAGGGCACCGATTTAACTAAGGAGCAAACAAAAGGAGGACTCTAACTAAAGGACCCTGATTAAACCCTAGGAATAGAGGTTTACAAACAAAACAAACTAACAAAAGGAGACTGCAAGAAAACACAGCTATCTTTGAGGACAACAGTTCAGCGTAATACTAACCTAATCTAAACACCACTAATCACAATAACAACGACCACGCGAGGTACACAGTTAACAACGGTAAGCAAGTAGCGAGAGGCGTCTGTTCACACACAACAGAGCCTCCCGAATGATCATAGTCCACGGCCTTTGTAATCCTCCCCCGGAAGGTGTGCGCCGGATGTGTGCTGGGATTGGTCCACGTTGATCCAATCACCTCTTCGGAAGCGAGGGCGGAACAGCCAATGACATCACGGGAACCGCACAGCTCATTTGCATAGACACAGACAGAGTTAATAGGACCGGGGAGACGGCGGCCGTAACAAATATGAAAAAAGCAACAAACATATAAACAATTACTTTTAGGCATAATAAATACTGTTTATGACCCAAAAATGGCCTGTTTTACTTGCAACAGCATAATCAGTGGTTTACTTCCAGTGTTGTTTTTCTGCATCTGGATCTACCATTTGGATGATAAAAATGTGCCATTCTTATTTTACTATCTAAATGTTGGCACAGTAACAACCCTGACAAGCCTCCCAGAATGCAGCATTGTGCGTATACCTTATCTAATTAGTAAACGAAAATAAATGTAATGTTGGGTAAAACTACACATTTAGTGGATATATTTAAAGCCCATCTGTCACAGTGCAGGATAAGGATTTATTCTGTAAAATTGGAAAATAAGACGTCTCACAAGTCTGATTCAATCCAAACAGAGCTCTTCTATGGCCTTTTTCCGATATAAAAAATATCAATTAAGAATTTATTTTGAAACCCCAGTTAATGTGCTGTTTTTTTTAACATTCCCTTTAATTGTAACATTTACAAAACACGTATTTATAATTGAGATGAACAGATGGAGTCTTTCTGCCTGGCTCCTCCTCTGTCCCAGGTCTCCCATCATTAGTTACACCTTACGGCACTCTTTTGGCTGGTTTCTCTCTCTACTCTCACTTCTTCTTTTTCTTTGCCTCCATCCCATCCTCTTCTCCTCTTCTCTGTTTCTCCTGGTAAGTCAACCAGGGGAAGTCTTCCTTACACCGGTGAAGAATTCCCTGCCAAATGAGTCCCCTCTCAGTGAACAGAGCATGAATGATGGCAGCGGATTGTTTCAGACTCCTGTCAGAGAGTCTTGTTAGTTTGCTCCATGTCTGCCAGATTCAAGCTCTGTGTCTGTGTGTGTGTATTGAGAAAGATAGTTATTGAGACTGCATGCAAAAAGCCTTTCCTCTGTTTCTGAACCTGCTCTTCTCCTTCCCTTCCTTCCTTCCTACTTTTCCTTCCTTCGCTCCCTCTGCTGCTCCTCTGCTATGCTGCGATAGTAATGTTGACACTAAGGAACTCTGTGGTAAGTGGACTGCCGACACACACACACACACACACACACACACACACACACACACACACACACACACACACACACACACACACACACACACACACACACACACACACACACACACACACACACACACACACACACACACACACTTCCCTGCCGCTGGCCTCATTCTCTCTGTTATCTATTGTTAAAAAGTACTCCAGCTCGGCTGTAATGCAATTATTTTCTTTAAAATATATGGTATTAATTCAGCCACTTTCATTTAACCACTGTGAAATAATGTTGGGACTAAAAATGTTGTATAAATCTTGTGCCAATTTGCTTGTGCGTGAATGTGTGTGTGTACAGACTACTTTGCCAAGCACATGGGCGACTATGAGGGGGTGCTGGCCTCGCTGGAAACACTCAACCTCTCCATCCTCAAAGCCATGGACTTCACTAAAAAGGTAAGAGTTAGTGTGTGTGTGTGTGTGTGTGTGTGTGTGTGTGTGTGTGTGTGTGTGTGTGTGTGTGTGTGTGTGTGTGTGTGTGTGTGTGCGTGTGTGCGTGTGTGCATGTGTGTGTGTGTGTGTTGCAGCATGACAGCTAGTGAAAGCTTTTATTTTACACTTGCCCTTCGATATCTTTTTACTTCCACTGCCTCCAAAGATCAGTCCAAACATCTTCTGAAGACATTGAGTCATACTAATTGGATTACAGTTTAATTAAGAACACAGAGGTGATTTCACAAAGTGGTTGCACAACTTTTAAACCAGTTAAATCTGCACTAAAAAGACAAAAAGAAGCCGTTACATTCTCAAAGCACTTCATGGTTGAATTGAAATCCTACTGTAACTGCCCCTTCCCTAGTGTCTCAAAGCTCCTACCTATTTTCAAGTATTTTTAAAAGTCATTTTGCATACATTTGGCGCAAGATTAGCCCCTTATTAGGCAAATTCTACACTTTGCAAAAACAGTCCAATTCACAAAGATCTGTGATAATAGCAGTAAGTAAAATGATTTGCACCAAGAAGAGTTGGTGGTAACAAATGTGCTTTGGGCGACTGTGGCTGAGAGGGAGTGCGGTCTTCTTTCAACCAGAAGGTTGTTGGTTCGATCCCAGTCAACATCTCGATGTATCACCTTAAACAGGGCAGATATTATGTGAATGTACCCAAATTATGATTCATTCACGAGCGGCTGCAATACGTTTTTTGTTAATTCGCGCCTAAGTATATCAAATTGAGAAAGAGTCTGCAATATACTTTTAATATATACAAAATAGTGTTTTATTATTTTATTCTAAGCTTCTTACCTTAACAGACACATTTATGTTTGGCTCTATTAAATCCATTCAAATGTACAGATGTGGAAGCAGTGTGCTGTGCTCACATTTGACCCCCCCAAACACACAGCGCCATGTACATTGGCCCTTCCTCATAGATCAGGTGTAATGATGTATGCGTGAATGGTGTGTGCATTGTGGAGTGCGGCAAAATAATGGGATGTCAAGTTTTTGTGTGTGTGTGTGTGTGTGTCGCAGTCAGCTGGAGAACACTAACGTTGTATCCCAGTTTTCCCCCCATGTGCTATATATAGCAGGTCCACAATGCCATTTCCATGTTCATGTGCTGCTTCAGTGTGTGTGTGTGTGTGTGTGTGTGTGTGTGTGTGTGTGTGTGTGTGTGTGTGTGTGTGTGTGTGTGTGTGTGTGTGTGTGTGTGTGTGTGTGTGTGTGTGTGTGTGTGTGTGTGTGTGTGTGTGTGCTTGTGTGCTTAATGGCCAGCAGCTGAAAGAAAGATAAAGACAGAGCTGTTGGATAGAGATATAGAAACACACCGAGCAGAGTGCTACACCCACACACACACACACACACACACACACACACTCACACTCACTGACACTTGCCCTTCCTCACACACCACCTCAGGCTAGTTTCTCTCTAATGAGCAGCCATTGTTCAATCAATCAGTGTCTCTCTTGTTCTCTTGCTGTATCCCTTGTGCTCTTTCTTCTTCCCGCTCTCATTCATACTGTCATTTTTCCTGTTAGACACACACACATTCACACACACACTTTCCTTTCTCTTGGGCTGTGATATCATTATAGCCTCTCTTGCGGGCAGCCGCCATGCCATGTAAGGGGTAGACCGGTTTAAAGAGTCAAACAGCCAAACTGCACAGACCCTGCTGACTCGTCTAATATTGATGGAGGTTTGGAGTGTGTTTCAGATTTCACAGCAACAATAGATTTGACTGCAGAGAGAGCTCGGTGGCTAAACCATCTCTATACAGTCCAGACGCTACAGCTCTCAGTCATGAAGCCAACATTTATTTTGAGATCTTCTGTTGCATTCTAGTGTTTCCTCCTGTGTCTCGCTCTTATGTTCTCTCTTTTTTTTCTGCCTCTGCTTTTTCTTTTTTGATTGTGACCACTGTGGTAGTGGCTCAGACACCCACCGCTGGAGATGTTTATGAGCTAAGTAGAAAATCTGCAGCAGTGGAACAACCCATAACTCGCTTATTCATTTCAATGGAGCAAATCTGGCAAAGAGTTTGGGTGCCAACGTCATTCAGCAAGGCGCAGTGTTGGCACAAGGGCCGTTTTGGGACTACTATAACAGCAGCATTCACAGTTGCAATTTTTCGCATTTGTTATCTGACACCCCCCTTTTTCTCTCTACTTGTTCACTTTCAACATTGTCAAATATAGGCAAAATCCAGAACGTTTGTATACGATAACAATAGTAAGGCATCACACTTGTATCTGCACTAAAGACAGCAATCAAAGAGTTTGAAAATTAACAATTAGAGCAGTTCAATAGTTAACTTCTTTCATCAATCCACTGGTCCATCAAAAACGTATATGACTTATATCATCAGATGTAATAAGAAACACATTTCAGTTCTTGTTCATGGAGGGGTATTGCATTCGCTTTACCGCACCTTTGTGTCAAAGAGAAGGCTGAATAAGAAGGCAAAGCTCTCAGTCTACCGGTCCATCTTCGTTCCTACTGTCACCTATGGTCATGAAGGATGGGTCATGACCGTGATAACAAGATCACAAATACAAGCGGCCGAAATGGGTTTCCTCCAGAGGGTGGCTGGCATCTCCCTTGGCGATAAAGGGACAAGTTCAGTCATCTTGGAGGAACTTGGAGTAGAGCTGTTGCTCCTTCACGTAGAAAGGTGTCAGTTGATGTGGTTCAGACACCTTGTAAGGATGCCAGCTGGCCCACTCCCTAGGGAGGTGTTCCAGGCACGTCCAGCTGGAGGTGGAGGTATTATATCTCTAAACTGGCCTGAGAGCGCCTTGGAATCCCCCAGTTGATGTGGCCAGGGAAGAGGACGTTTGGAAACTGCTTCCCTTGAGATTTTTAAAATCCAGAATATAGGGAAAGGGTTTTAAAATGTAGGACGTCTCCAACTTTACTGACGGACATATGATGTTCCACATTACTGGCACTGGTAGTGAATCTGTTTTTCTATTATATTTTTTAGTATTCTTATTTGCTTGTTAAAGTATTTTCATTTTTTTTAAGGACACATTTATTCCTGATCATAACTACCAAATATTGATTCATTTTTAGATCCTTAGGCATATACATGACAGTTTGTTGTATGAAAACACAAAAGACACAACATCTAATCTATTTTTTTGTATTCTAAATGCTAATTAATGTTTTCTCACAGATAAGCTCTATTGTTATTCAAAGATTAGCAAAAGCATTGATTTTGCTGCATTGTATATTCACACAAGACACCAGGAAAACAGGATGTGTTTTGCCCTTCGACATTTTTTTCTGGAGACAAAATTGGAAACCAGGGTTCTAGATTGAAAGCCTGGTAACATATAATGCCTGTTGATATGCTGTAATGGCAATGGGCTCAAACATTGTGATTGTAATGGGTTTCAATGGGGAGATTTGTATCCCTGAAGGGCTGAGTGACTGTATGTTGGCTACACGGTTTATTTTAGACCTACTGTATTATTGTTACTGTGGATGAACTTCCAACATTTGAGTACAAAGCCTTGACAAAATGTATGCCATTAGATTAAGAGCCAAAATGGTTCCTAGTGAGGCACAAGGGTGAAACTCTAACTCCAAAAAGCTCTTTGTCTTTTCAGCAACGCCTTTAATATTTCACAGTAAGCCAATTCTTGTTTCAAAGGCGTCCTCTTCAGAGGCTGGAGCTTATCTGCCCCTCAGCAAAGGTTTAAGTGGACAGTCTGAGTGCTAATCCGCAAGTACCGATAAGAGCTTAAGTCACTAGGCTGGCAGTAAGAGCTGCAAATGTTTCAATTTAACATTACCCTTTAAAATAGCACAAATAAAGCTAATATCTTTACCTTTCCCCCTGCCCTATTTTCCACCCTGCCTCTTTATTCTTATGCGGTTTTCATTATTCAGATGCTCACCCTGCCCCCATCTGCTGCATTCTTCTCTTTTCTCTCTCCTCCATTCGATCATGTTCAAAAAGATTAATAGAAGTCAAGAAAAATTAAAAGATCAACAACAGTGAAGCAAGAGATTTTAATGGCTGTGTTTTACCTTGTTTGTTTGTTTGTAGCCTTTATTTAACCAGGTTAAAAAATCCCATTGAGATCAACGATCTCTTTTTCAAGGGAGACCTGCGGTACATTGGTTACACATAAAAACAACAGAAAACAAAAAGGACATCACAACATAATTACAGGGGTATAAATTGGCAACCTATTCACAGTGACAGGTATCCAATAACATTTCATCCAGTCGTGCTTTAAAATGATGCAAGGGAATCAAAATGCTCAGTTTCAATGTTTTTTGCATAGTGTTCCAAGCTAGAGGAGCAGCGCACATAAAAGCTTTAGTACCTAAAACAGTCCTAGCACTTGGCACATGTAATAAGAACACAACCTTCTAGACAATATCCGTGTAAAAGCTGGAGAAAAGATCTTCAAATTGAGGCAGATGTGAGGAGGTAGGGTGGGCGCAGCCAAAAGACAGAGCGTGATATTAGCTTGAGCAGAGGCTGTAGCCCGAGCCCTGGCCTTTCAGAGCCCACTGGGAATTGATTAGCTCCCCATTCACCTCAATGAATATTGACACGGCGAGAAAGACTGAGTGGAGATGGAAGGCAGACTGTACCCGGCTGTTACCTACAGTAATGAACAGCAACGGAGGGGAGGGAGGGGGGGGTTCTTCTTTAAAGCATTTGGCTGGCACCCAAGGGCGGCTTGCAGCTAAAATAAAATGGGTTTCGAGATTATTCAACTGAAATGTATACTCCAGCAGTATTGGCACGGCTTTGGTGCAGAACCTGAACCTTGCCAAATCCTTACAGGTTGATAGAAATAAAAAAAATTAAAGATTGCTCATGGGATCATTATTTGAACAGAAGCCAATGCAATAACCTGCTTTGTCTTTCAGGATAATGTTAAGAATCAACATTATCTGAATGTATCCTGTAAGGAACAATGTAATATC